TTACGGTCAAAACCTACTGCATAAAAATTTCTCTACTTAATTTACCTCTTTAATAACATGAATAGAATATTTTTTCACACTGGTTGTCTGAGTATTTCTAGGATTAGGTCAGTAATGATGTTCACATGTTTTTAAAGTAAATTAACAACAGCAGGCCAAGAGAATTACAACTGACATAAAAGGTCTTTTGAAATTATCAGTTTTGGAGACTATTATGCCCTTTTCTCGTGTTAAACAACCATAATTACTCAGAGTTTAGCCACTCAGACTTCTGACATCACTAGAACAGGCTGGTGTATATAGCACATTGCATTGTTCAGTTTATTGTTTTTTATAAATATTATTCCAAGTATCATCAGGAGATTGTATTGTTATAAAATTTCCACTACAGGCATTTAGTATTTGCAAAAAACCTAAGTAGAATATTTTCCATTAAGATGAAAACACTATTTTAGGTAAGAGAAGCTAAAATAAATGCCAAAGGATAAATAATTTGACCATACATTAAGGAAACACTAACACTTAGAATTTCCTAATCTCTCACCACAAACTTTAGCCATAAGATCATTCTTCATCTTAGAAAACACAAGAGAAAATAATTCATTCTCCCTCAGCACAAGTCTTTAAAGAGTATGATATTAAGTTCCAAAGATTACAATGATGCAAGGACAGAAGGAGGATCAGAGGAATAGAACATTCTCTAGATGAAGAGAGATTTAAGATTAGGACTCTTCAGCTTGAAAACAATACTGTTGAAGAGAAAAAAGTGGCATTATAAACATGGAGATTAACAGGAACATAACAATAGAAGTACCAGGCTTAAAACAGTACTAAGAATACATGGTTTTTATTAAGTGAATAATTAAAGGAATGAACTCTCAGCTGTAGTATGCTATTTATGACAAAGGTAGAGACAGATGCAAAAAAGCAGCTAGACAAACTCATGAGTAAGAGGTGGATCAAGGGCTTCAAAAGAAGTCAGACACAATCTCAGGATGATTCTAAACTGCTGAGCCTGATTAGCACATACCCAAAGAAAGATCACTCAGTCTTGGTCCAGTTTCTTGTATCTTTCCTAAAACACCTCATGGTAGACAGTACCAGGGGACAAGAATTCACACAGGTTTCCATGCTGAGGCAGCACAAACAACCCAAGGCTCATCTCGCTCAAATCAGTTTCCAACATCATGCTACTAAGTATATGCCAGCAAAATTTTGCTCCAAGGTCTTACTGTTGATATTGTACTGCTTCACTTTTGAATAAATGAAGTGTTCAACTGTTTAAATTGTCCATGAGATAAGCCAGGCATGCACAGTGTACTCTCTGAATAAAAGTATAACAGACAACCCATTAAAACCAGTCAAATTGATAGTATTTAAGTTTTGGTCATGCTCTCAGGCTTGTTGCCATTTTTCCACCTAGTGGTAAAAACTATCATAGACACAACCAAAACATGGCTTTAATTCACAAAAATACTTCTAATGGTAAAGGGGAAAAATCTTAAGAAGTAAAAATTACATAAGAAAATAAAAATACCGTTGTTTCTCTAGTTTCATCAGGTGGCCTTTCTTTGCTTCTTATCTTTGAAACTGGTAACTCTGAAATCTGGCTTTCCTGTGTTGTATCATCTCTAATACATAGGGTTCTCAGTCTAGCAGATTCTGCTTCTAGTATAACATCATTGCTATCTTCAAAGCTGAAATCAAAAGCACACAAAAACATATTAGTGCATTTTTGTTAAAAGAAGTTATTATTGTTTACAGACAGAACAAGTTGCACAGAAAAAATATGCAATTTTGACATTAAATAACAGAGAACCTAACAAGATTTAGTGATATTTGCAGGGTATGAACTTTAAAACAACTTCTGTATTTTTGTAATGCTATTATAAGAAGATGTTGAAATCCAGTCTCAATATTCTAGAGTAGATAATTTTTTAAAACAGACTTTACTAATATAAATACTGTTAACAATCCATGTTGAGCTCAAAGACAAATACTATTCCTTCATATACTGCCAATGAGGTATTAAAGGACATAAAAGTTTCCAGGAATCTGTATGAAATAACAAGCAATTACAATACAGCTAAATACAACAATTAACGCACAAAATTCTGAAGTATTTCACCAACAGCTTCATAATGACTTTTTAGATTTACCACTTTCTCACATAACACATTTAATAAAACAAACATTGACTTTCTAGTAAAATAATGCCCAAAATTGAAACCAAATATTTGCCTCCCACCCAGGTTCTGTACAAATAAAGTCCAAGCAACTTCCCTTTCCCAGAAGAACCACTTTATTAAAAACAGATATAAATTCCAAGTGCATAACAACACTACTTAACATCACTACCAAGCAGAGTTTTGAGAGAAATATTAGAAGTTAGGGTAAACCAATATCCTTCATGAACATCTTAAAAAGTTTTGGATGAGATTTTAGTATTAATGTAAATTTTTTTTGCAAGGGCAGTCCATGAGAACAAATAATATACTGAAAGTGTAAATTAAAATCGGCTTACTAAAACCCAAGACAGTTCTCAGAAACCAAAAACCTACTCCTTCTGTGCCAGTTAACATGAAGGTAAGCATGAATAAACGAAACCAAAATAAAAATTTTAACTATTTTTTATTTTGTCTAAGCTTTGCAATGTAAACATTACCTGTATAAATTGACATCACTTTCTCTCTCCATTATGTCATCCACTGGTAAACAGGACTCTGATCTCTCTTCCTCTGTAACAGCAGTCTCATCTTGTTTTCCTTCAATAGCACTATCTGTTTCTTCTCTACAGGTAGTATGACCATAACTGTTTGCATCACATACCACTTTTCTTTCTGCTCATGAATAAGAATTAAATAAATTTGGACATTCTGGGCAACATCTTAGCATTTCAATTCTCACATCCTAGCTACAGTGAAGCAAGAGTTAATTTAAGACAAAAAAATCCCAATAGAAAATGCCTAAGTATTAAGATATTAGAGAACTGTTCTCAGCTAAAATAAAACGTGTTTAGATTTAGTAGGAAAGCTGATTTTAAAAGGCATTGTCCCACAATCTTTCAAGGCAGTGATATAAATAAAAAGCCAAGTTTTCATTTTTAAGTTTGCAATGTCTTTACATAAAATATATATTTCAACATTTGAAAGTGAGCATTTTTGCCCCTTACTTTTCTTAAAAGGTTTCCCTTCTTCAGCAGTTCTTGCAGGGACAGCCATTTCCTCTAGAACATTCTCCACTTCTTGTTCAAGATCATCTTTTTTCTTCTTCTTTCTCTTCTTTTTTGCTAATGCTGGCTCTAATGCAACCTGTTCTTCTGCCTGTTCAGACATGCCCAAAGATTCCTCATTTTCTTTCTCAGCCGTCACAGCATCTGCTTCTGTTTCTGCATCCAAAATTCTGGCTTCCTGAGGATCATCTTGATCATTAGCAGCTTCTGTGCTGGCAGCCTTTGCTATTGAGACAATGTGGTTCCTGGTTAATAGACTGGTGGAGCATTAGGAGCCATAGCAAAGATATCACCACTAGCAACATTTTGTGAATTCATTCATCACTGCGAATATACTGCAAGGCATATGAGCAGGATCATGAGAAGTCAGTCACTGACTTAAAAGAAAAGCTTCAGCACTTAAACTTCAACACTAAATGTAAAATACATTCTGTACATGGGACGACACCTCACCAGAGTAAAGCCAATACAGGAAGTAAAGCTGATTTAGTAAATGTTCTCATTCCTATACTTTTTAGCAGGTTATTTTGGGATCCAGGAAAAATAGGCATTGATATTCCTGAAAAGAATTATCATATACCTCTGCAGAAAGAGGTGATGATGGTTGCAGAAAGTATGCCATGAAAAAAGTAATTTTTATCAATAGATAAACTGCAGTTAATTCTTATTTAAGTAAGAAAGCTGAATTATTAGCTAGATAATAATTCACAAGTTCATTTCTGGGCTTAATGAGTTTCTAAAACTCTCCTCACTCCTCTTTTCTGGACATTTTACCTTGATCTTGTATTTATGCAGAACATCAACCACCAAGAATCTTTCCCTGTCCTTTTTATTATTCTTATATGAACTTGTTTCCCTGTAATTAAGAAATCCAAAATGCAAGAGAAGTAGAAAAGTATGCTCACATTGCTTTACACAAAAAGTACCTTTAATCTAACATTAAAGTCTATGAACAGGGTTTTGATATGTAGCTGTAAGTTCTGATAGGTTGGACATTTTCCTTAATCAAATCTGAAATTAACACCACAGAAAAGCAGCAACTATGTCAGTTTTAAGAATTAAACACTGATGATGCTTCCTAGCTAGCACCTCCTTTAAAAAGGTTGTTCACTTGTTCCACAATACCACGTACAAAGAAAATGGGAATTTATTAGATGGTGTGGGTATAACTCTTTCTAATTTAAGCACATATATGAAAGGTCCTTTCACCAGTACTGAGGTAATAAGACACAATATGGTGATCAATAGTAAATAAACATAATCTTTATCCTTTCTTTTGAATAGACCAGAAAATGAAAACAACTTTTAGCAGATTCTTGAAAATAATCACACTCTTCAGACTTAGGAAGTCAAACTATAACTAAAGGAGAAACAGAACCCTTCAAAGAAAATGGTTTCAAATATAAGAAAAATTCAGGGTCTCAGAAAAGCTTGCCAAAAAGATGGTTTTGGTCCAAAGATTCTAAAAGTTATTTCATGGAGATACTTTTCAACTGTTAAATTAGAGTATCCCATTTAGAGTATCAGTGGTTAAGACTGTGGAAGATCACTAATCTCACTGTAGTCTCACATTGCTGCCCAAAATAAAACACACCTCAGGAAACCAGCTGTTAACAATTACTATCATGCCATATCAGTAAACTACATCTCAAGAAGTTACACTGTGAAGCCAGGATCCTCTTGCCCTGTCTGGAACAGGGAAGGAAAAGATTCCCTATGTGATTTTTCCCTCTGCTAGCAAAACATTGCTGACCACTGCTCTGTAATGCTATCTCAAGCATTCTTTTGAAGTACCTTTTGGCTTCTTCCGAGGCTTTGATGGCTTCTTTTCCTTTGGCTTCTGGCTTTTAACAGTTTTTTGCTTCCGCTTTTCCTCATCTGCTAAGACCTTTTCAAGCAGCTGGGCAAAGAATTCAAAATCAAAGGGCCGCTTTTCTTCTACCAGATTAAAGCAAAGACATAGAAAATATTTCAAAGTTGATAATTTTTCCAAGTTTCTGGTTTGTAAAATAATCAGTGGTATATGTTATAGTATTAAAAAAGCAAAGGTAACATAAACGTAAACAGAGAACTGGTTCTGAAAATACTTTCTGTATCACTTGAGCAGGAGAGTTGACATATATATGGATTATGGTAGCTTGGTTTTAAAAAACAGTATTAAAAAGGTTACAGTACTTAGCAGTTTAGAAAATTTAATAATTGAAAAATACACAAATTGTAACATAGTATCAAATACCGTATTAACATCTTGCTCTAGGACTTACGTTGCTCATTCAAATAACACACAAACCCTTTAAGGATTCTCAAAGCAGTTTAGAATAAGTAACTGTGCTAGAAATTCCCACAGAGCAGAATAATATTCAACTGAATGCATATAGGAAAGTTTGTATTAATCTCACTGATCAGACATAAAGAAAAGTCAGAGATTAAACCAAAAGATCTTTACTATGAACCACGCTTTTGATAAAAACCTAAAATTCCCCAGTTTCTGAACTCACCTATGAGGAAAAACATTTTCTTATATTTAATTCAAGCAAGGCAAAGCACAAAAATTGCCATGAAAAAAAGATGACTACTATTTAATAACTCACAGTAGAGTGGAGTACAGTTACTTTACTTACTAAAAGCTTTGTCTATTCTCCATCCATTAGCTTTTTCCTCACGTTTGAACTTGTTCTAAAAGAAAACGTATATTTATCTTTTTCAGTAAGCAAGAAATGCAACAATATATTGTACAAAATGGCAGAATAAGATAAGCTGCCTTCTATGCAACAAAATACTGTAACAAATAAAGCTGTTAAAATTTATAAGTACACTTACAGAACACAAGTTTGTAATTAATTATTAAATATTAAATCTGTCACCAATAGATACCACCAGACATCTTTATTTATTATTTTCAACATCTTTGTCCTTACTTCCAATCCAAGCAGGGTTTGAAATACCAAAGATTTTCCCAGCTGGATACCACGAAAGAGACAACGCAGAAGATGTTCACCAAACATCCACTTACGCTTATCAGCATTCTCCAATTAAAATAAAATCGAGACAAACTACATCTAGGCATGCTAGATTTACTAGATATGTTCATAAGAATTCAACCCAGCATATTAATGTTTCAGGTACTCACTATCTCTTGGAAATAGGTGTTATAAAAGCACTGCTACAGAGACAATTAGCATCAAAATGATCAATACTAATAAAGGAAGCACAGGAACAGCAAATGAGAAACAGAGAAGTGAGAACGGATGTTTAATTGCTTTATTGAGTCCTTCAATTTTTACCTTAATTTCTGCTCTGGCTCTATGAGGAAATAGCCGTCCAATCAAGGAGAAGTCTGTTCCTACCATGCTGATAGCTAAAAAGAACATGTCTGTTTCTGGAGGGGGGTGGGGAATAAAAATAAAAGGATACAAATAATTAAATATTTAGTTAACCATCCTTCTTGCTATCTAAAATAAAAACATTTTGCAAACTTAATGCAATGAGATAGATAACTTAAAGGTTATCTACTGTGGCCACAAGTTCAGCTGAGATGGAGTTTGTGTGTTATTTTACCTAAGTACCTCTAACAGCATTTGCAGAACAAACTATTAACATAAAGAACTGTCTAATCGATCATAAAACTGCAGAATGAGAAATACGTTTTGTCAAGCTAGTAAATCAAAGTCAACCAACTCTAAATTGTCAGGGTTCATTTTTATTATGAACACAACCACAAACAAGAATACAAAAAAAGCATATGTAAAAACATAATCTCCATTCACAGTGAATTCTGAGGCTAATTTTTCCAGTTATCGTTGTAAAGAAACATTTCCAAGTCTAAAAAGCCTTGCATAGTGTTGTGAGCCTAGAGATAATAACCAATTCACAGCAGGCATAATTAAAAAAACAACCCACTCATAAAAACACAGATGTCAATATACAATGAAATCAGCCCACTTAGAAGTGGCTTAGGTAGTTTATTTTTGCCTAGAAGAACCAAGTAGAGAAGCTGTTAAGTAGTGCTAACTGCTCCACATAGAGCTCAAATATCTGGACATCAGAATTCCAAATTACACTGTTGAAAAGGCAGACTAGCATTTCCACAGCATCTAAACACCCACAACAGAAAAAATTCACAGGTAGCTTGCATATTGCAAGGAAGGAGATTTTTTAAATGTGCTGCTTTTCACAGTAAACATCAAAGCTCTGCTTTGCCTGGAGGGTTGAGACTGTGTTACACATCCATTTACTCCAGTAGAAATAAAAATTCTTGAGTATAAAGCATACATGGAAAAGCAAGATTTTTCTGCAGACTATGAAACCAATTACATACTCACCTTTATTTGACCATGGTTTTGTGTAAAAACTTTTCCTGAAGCTGGAATATGTAGTTGTAGAGCCACGCTCAAAGATGGGATCATTTTCTTCTACAACACATGGACCTTTTGTTCTTAGGACTTCTACAGTTAAACTGGAAAAGCAGACACACGAAGAGACTTACTTGAAAATACTGCTAACAACACAGACAGTAGGTATTTATAAGCGGATTTTTTCTGCCACAAGATAGAATTGTACTGTGTAATCAGGTTTAATAATTACAGTAACATGTATTTTAATGGGAGAATGCAGCAAGAAATCATTATCCTATTCAGCCTGCACACGTAAATTTGCTTTTCCCTTTTTATAAAATATAGTACAGGCAGACATAATTAAATATCTTTAAAAAAAAGTTGTCAATTTAACATTCAAGAAAATTCTTTTACCATGACTGCTCTATCCTTACACCTTGGCCTAAAACTCATGATAATACTACATAGGGGGAACTCAGTGACTTGATAATCCAATACTTTAAAAAAGCAATAGTCTAAGCAAAGTTACTGAAAACACTGACAGACAAATAAAGCAGCAACATGCAAGATGCAAAGGTGGGGCCAATCACACCAACAACTGAATAACAGTAAGCAGACACATGTAACTGTGAGAAACAAAGAAGTTAACTAAATAGAAGACATTTGGAAGTTTGTCAAATATTCAGTATTCATTCACTGTAATAAAATATACCAACTTCCTCTATCTCCTTCAAAAACACAAGTTTGCCATTACTGAAATGCAGGTTTACTGCTGTTCATATTTTGCCACATATTTGCACGGTTCCCTCAACGAGGATAGCTCAACTCTCAACATGTAGATACAATCACGTTTGTCCCCATCCAAAGTAACTGTTTTCTACTCACAAACTAAGCAGCAATGTAGCATATATTGTCTGTAAGTCAGGCACAGAACTTTGTTACCTTTCTTCATCCAGAATAATGGAACCATCCTCTGCTACTTTCACACGAGGAACTAGAAGTGGACCATCCTGATTCTCCTCCCCATTCTCTGCTGCTTCATCCTCTTCTTCCTCTTCATGATCAGGAGTATTTTTCTCTTGCTGTCTACAATTTTGAGAGAATAAGCAAAAATATTTTGTTAGTGTTTTGAATTCCTGCTCTGTATCCCAGATCTTCAACAATTTCACAAGCCACCCAGCAATGTTAGTCAATATATACATTCTGGAATCTGTTTTTCATTCTACTGTAAACCAGACAAATCCAAAAACATAATATTGAAAGCAAAATGCTTTTTAACCACCCTCCCTTCCTAAATTGCAATCCATTATAAATAAGTGCTGTGACACTGAAATAGTAAAAAAAAAATATTACCACACAAACATGGTTTTTGACAGCATCAGAAAACTTTTTGACTATAAGTACTTCCATCACCAAGACTTACTCCTTAATTTGACCCACTGCAGAATTTTTTTCTGTTCTCTTTTCTTCTGCTAATGAAGACCTAGAATTTTATAAAAAGCTAGAGGTTAATGTTTATACAG